GGGGGGGCGAGGGGCCTGGGGGCAGTTGGGAAGAAAGCTAGCTCTGATACCAGGAACTCAGAACTCTGGCCCACCTCGGCGTCCTGGTGGCTTCCCCAGCCATAGGAGATTGCCACGTCTTACCCAAAGTTACGCAGGTGTGGCCTGAGGTAAACAAAATCTTGAAGGAGATAAAGACCTCTGAGCCCAAGCCTGCATTTTCTAGAATGGCCCTCTCTGGGAGGGTCCTCCCTCTCCTGCCTTAATTTGGAGACCTGGGGTTTTACAGCTCCACTTCTTTTTCTTTCAAAAACAGGCTCTTGGGACTCAGCGTGGACATCGCCACATACTTTAGTCAGTGCTGGGACATCTGTGTTCATTAGAGGGTGAGCAGCCCTGTGGCACTGGGGCTGGTACGGTACTTGTTGAGTACGGAAGGTGACATCCCCGAGGGGCAAGTCCTGAACCCTAGAGGGCTTGCTGCTGCAGTCCAAGTGCTGGGTGAGGCTGCTGAGCGCCTGTCTTGGGGAAGGAAGGGACTCAAGGAAGCTACAGGACCCGGAGGGGTGCATGGGCCAGAGGGAAGAGAAAGGAGCAGGACCTGGAAACTTACATCTCCGGAGTCTTGGACTTGTTCTTGCCGTTAAAGAACTCGGGGAGAGCCCTCCGCTCGATGGCATGAACACTGCAAGAGAAATCAGAGTGGGTCCCGGAGAAGGCCCTGGTGGAGGGAGGGGCGTCCTGAAGGAAGGAGAAGCCTGGCAGGAGGGGTGGGCGACCAGCTGGAGACTGCAGGGGAGACCAGACACTGGGGGAACGCTTCCCCCACCCCAGCTGTGAGCCTCAACCAGAGACCAGGAGCTCGTCCATGACTGAAGTGCACCATGGTCTACATGACCGACTGGAGAGGGCTTCTGGGGTCAGCAGGCGGGGGAGTGGATTCCATGCGTGGGGGTGGGGGCAGCACCTGTTGTAGTCAAACCAGGCCGCGTAGCTGGGGATGATGATGTGGTGGGTCTGCTCTGTCACGTTGTCCTCGTGCAGGTCTGGGTTCTTGGTCTGCTCCCCTTTGTTCCCCGTACTGTTCTCATCCTCATCCTATGGGGCATGGAGGCAGCAGGTTGCTCAGCATTGCCACTGCCCACCCTGCTTCGCCCCCGCCCCCGGGGGACTTGGGCAATGGAGAAGAGCGCCGGAGTGAAGGTACAGTAGGGCCCCGGGGCTCGGACAGAATCAGAGTTTGAGGCAACCACTAGGACTAGTCCAGGGTGTACAAAGTCTCAGCAGCGGAAGGTTCGCGGAGGAAACTTTCAAATCACCCAGGGAGATGAGGCCTCTCTCAGCCACTCACCTTGCCTGCAGGCTCCATGCTTTCCTCCTCCTGTTCGTCTGAAAAGAGACGGCCGCAGGTGAGCCAGGGAGGGGCCCACTAGAGCCCCAGCAGCCTGGGGCAAGGCGGTAGCTGAGCCTGTCCCCTCAGGAGGCTTTCCCTCTTACCCAGGTCAGTCATGGTGCCGCCTTTGACCGGGGCTGCCTCCGAGTCCTTCTTCGTGCTGACTGCCGGGAAGAACTGCGCTGTAAGGCACATCCTGCCTTCACAGGCACACACCTTGAGACCCCCCTACCTCCCACTCTCCCTGCCTGGCCGCAGAGGGTGGTGCCCTCCCTGCAGTGCAGGAAACGCACTTGCGACTTCCCGCCTTCTCTAGGCCCCTGCAAGGAAGCCCGACGTCAGGCCTGTCTCCCCATCTGCGTGTGTACGCTCTCCAGGGACGGAGGTGGCCTCCGACCAAAGGACTCGGAGAAGTGGTGCATCGTCGTCGTCGTCGTTTCTCAAAAGCAGAGGAGACTTTCCTCAAATGAATTCACACGCGAGCGCTCAGAGACAGCAGTGTGGTTCTGACTCGGGTGAGCAGGCAGAAGCCCGAACTCAGGCCTCTCCGTGGCCCTTAGCCCCACCCTGGAGATGGCTGGCCAAATATCTACTGGAATGTCAGCAGAGCTATCAGAACTTATCTGTGTGTTTGCTGATTTCATCCTTCAAATGTGTCTGTGAATGTTTTATCACCGTGTGACCTAACACCATGCTACAACTATCACCAAGAACCACGACCATCGGTCCATTCAGACTCATGGTGCCCCTGTGCATTGTTACCACTAGAAATGCCCCCGGGCATTTTCTTGGGAGCCCTGGTGGCACAGGGGTTAGGTGTTGGCCTGTAGTCCGCAAGGTCTGCAGTTTGAAACCATCAGCCACTCCACAGCAAAAAGACCAGCTTTCCATTCCCACCAACAGTTACAGGCTCGGAAACCCACAGCTCTCCCCTGTCCTATAGGGTCACTATGAGTCGGCATCGACTCAAGGACATTGAACTTGGTTTCCATTTCTATGGGAGATTTCCGGGCCTTTCTTCCAGTGCTGCCGGGTGGTCCAGAACCACCGACCTTTCTTTAGTGTAGCAGTCAGTACAAACCACTGCACAGGCCAGAGACCTTGTAAGACAGGACAGGTACATAATGTGTGTTGGAATATATTTCACTGAGGGGTGTGCGGGGTAGGGGGTTACTTGATAGGGCTCTGTAGGAGCTACTTGTAATTCCTACCAAATGACTGGCTAGGATAGTACTTGGCAAATGTGAGGGATGTGTGATCCACCAAGCTGATGGCCTAGCACAGGGCTGCCATGTTGGGGGGGGGGCAACTAGGACGTATGGGGCTCTGAATGAAGAGAGGAGTCGGCTTTGTCGTTGCACTAGGTTTTAAAATTAGCTGTCTCAAAAGCAGAAGAGGGGCAGGGGTGGAGTGCATCCTTGGGACCCCTAAATCCCTGCACATTGGATCTCTTCCATCTGGGAGACACAGTGCTGTGACACCAGAGACGTGGCCGAGACGTGGTGGCAGCAGTAGCAAAAGCACGAGGGGCTTCCTGACCCACGGTGTGAGAAAGCAGAGAGCCTTTTGGCAAGGCGCTTGCCAGAAGAGTAGGCTACCTCGAGGCATGTAACTGGGGGAGCTAGGTTTCTGAGTGCTCTGGGGCCAGGGTGACTGGCAGAGTGGAGTGCCTTTTCTTCAGCAGCGGTAGCGCTACACTGCCCAGGCAGAGCAGAGGCCAGGGCTACGGGATGGAGAACCCGAAGACCAGAGTAAAGTGTGCCTGTGGGCACATCGAAGAAGAGGGGATCTTGGCCGAAGAAATATAGCCTGTAAATAACTGTCTCCCGAGCGTGTCTGACCCTGAACTGTTCATGTGTTAGCGTCCCTGATACACCCCATAATAAGCAGAATCTACTCGTTCTGTGTGGCTCTGGCAGTGAGCTCTCACACCCAGCAGAAGGGTAGAGTGCCACAGGAGAAGCGGGTGGTGCGAAGGAGGTTGGGAGGTGGTGGCATGTCTGGCCTCCACCTCGTAGCACTGGGCCTTCCGTAAGCGGACGGACGGGAGTGTGACTCTCCTAGCTCCTCGTCAAGTCACAGGAGGTCAGACGTGCCCCAGGCCACGTTTTCCAGACGCACAACTTAAACAAGCTTAGAGACAGTTACTGTCAGGTGCAAAGCACAGTCTGTCATTCTAATGTGGATGTGAACGTCACAGAGAATTCCACAGTGATGAAAACAATTTCAATAACCAGCTAAATTGAAGGAAAGGGGCCTTTAGGTCCGGAGCTGGTCTGGGGAACAGCTCGGTCAGGAAACCTGACACCGCAGGGACAAGACAGGGAGGGGTTCCGGGAGCCTGGCGCACCTAGCCTGACCCATACCTGTTTTGGGCAAAGTCACCTCTTCTACGTTGGGGACAGGTGAGGGCTCATCCATGTCCTTGGTCAGGTCTTCCTGCTCCTCTTCCCGGTGGCCCCGTTTAGACTTGGTGTAAGGCGTTGAGGGGCTGAGGAGGAAAGAGTGAGAGACCCGTCACTCGGGGCCAGGGAGTCCTTGGGGCTGAGGCTCCAGCGAAGGGAGAGGAGAGAACCCCGAGGGCGGGGTGGTCCAGCACGGACAGAAACCCGTCGCTGTCGCTGCGGGTGATGGGGAGTGGCAAAGGCCTTCAATTTGGAAGCTCTGCCTGAATCTATGACAGACCTGGTCCTCTCAGGACACTTGCATCACGATGGCACCCCAGTCAAGGCTGCCTTCCTCATGGAGCGGCGAGAAGGGGCAGGGGCGGGCTAAGAGGCGGGCGTACCCTTTCTTAGCATTTTTCTTCTTAGCTTCCGGGGTGGGTGAGGGAGACGGGGAGCGCTTCCTCTTCTTATAGTTCCCCCCCTTCTTGTCCCGTCGATCGGAGTCTGGGCTGTTCACCTGCAGCAGAGGACCGGGAAACGGTCAGTCAACCATCGCCGGCGAAGACGCCCCGAAACTTGGGTTAAGGGCTGAAGGGAGAGGCAGAGGGCTTGCCCACCTCATCTGTCAGCGTCTTGGCGGAAATCTTCTTCCGGCGCGAGACGGGGCCCTTGTCATCGCTGACTTCATAGTCCTCCTCGTTCATCCACTCGTTGAAGGTGTCCGTGTCCAGGACCCACTTGGCGTGAACCTGAAGCCCAGACGCCGGTGCTGCTGGAGGAGCCCGGCCGCCAAGGCCAAGGGCGCGGGAGCCCCTCCCCTCCTCCAGAGGGTGCACAGCCCTGGCCCCTGCTCGGGCCCAGGGGGACGAGGAACTCTCACCTTCCTGGGCTTCTCAGGCGTCGGGGCATCTTCCACAGAGGCTTCGATTTCACTGGCGGGGATCCACGTGTCGTAGCTGCGGGGAACGGAGAGGGAAGAGCAGGGTCAACGGGAGGCAGGAGGCAGGGTCACAGGCAGACCTCTTCACCCTTCCCGGAAGGAGAAGCATCGGACTGCTGGGGTGCTTCCTGGTATGGCTCCCCTCTCCCAGTAATATCAGAATTCTTTTTATTATAATGTTAAAAAAACAAAAGCCCCTAACAAGATGTCCTAGAAGCCTTCTTGTTCATCCTGTCACCCTCCTCCGACGACTCGTTTCCTTTCTTACAAACACGACTCCCGACATGCAGTGTCTCTCGTTCCCAGCAATTCAAAAAATAATTTTCTTCTTTTCACCTAATTACAGCCATGAGACCAGACGTGTTCTCGTACACTCTACTTCTCACACTTGGTCTACACACGTCAACGGCATTTCCTAAGTAGCACAGTGAGACTGACTGTGTCACGGTCAAAAGTTAAGACTGCTTCTAGCCTCAGCCCAGGCCTCCAGACGAGGGGTCGGCAAACGGGCTTGGGAGTCGTATGTGGTGGCTCTTTTGGTACTTACATGTGGTTCTGACGAGAGTGAGAGAAAGTTTTAAGGACATTAGTCAGATCATGGTGATTTCATTTATATGTCCAAATAGATCTGTGGCTCGTGAGTGATTTTTAAATTGTGGCGAGGGGCAGGATTGGCTCTTCCGTCTCAAAAGTTTGCCGACCCCTGGTCTGGAGGACCCAAATCCGCCCCAGGGCAGAGGGTTCAAGTGAGAGGTGTGGAGCCAAGAAATCAGCCGGCCTACAAAGAGCCCCCAAGAGCGCCTTGTGGCTCTGCGAGCGGCCTGGACTTCTGGGCTGCGTGCTCCAGAGACTCCGCCTCACCTGTCAGGATAGTAGCCCCAGTGCAGAAGAACCTGCTTATCCCTCTTCATGACTGGTCGTACCCATTCCTCTGGGATAGAGACAGAGAGGGAGAGGTGTAAGCTACAGGGGTACGTTGGAAATACATGCTGAACGGAAGCCCTCGGCAACAAGGCACCTGGGAACAAGGATTCAGAGTCCCCCCGTGGGGTGACCTGAGCTGCCCTCCAGCCCCAGCAGTGGCCAGAACCAGCCAGGCCTCACCTTCTTCTAGGTTCCCTGGGACAGGGTACACGACATGAGAGGCGCTGTTCTTGTCCTCAGTGACTGTCCCCTGCACAGCATGGAAGGAAGCACATCAGTATCACCCCTCTGAGTCCCAGGGTGTCCACACACCCAGATGTCATTGACCACACGCCTGCCTTCCTGGTCGGAGCCTTCACAGGACGGTGCCAGAGAGAGCTTGCTTTCTAAGCGCACACCACCTGACTGGCAGGGAGAAATGCTGGCTTGGGCTGTGAATGGGGAGAAGTGGGAGAATTTAAAATCTGCCAGGCAAAGTTTCTCTGGCGAGGTCAGCCTCACATGGGAACTTAAGATGGGCTGTCTGCCCCTCTCCAGGACACCGGCTTGTTGCTACAAAGCTACAAAGCGCACACATCTCGCTTCTCTCGACTCAGCCACCCTTTCCACGCACTCAAAGTGGATGCTTTCTGCCCCTGGCCAGTGGGGACCCTAGCAACAGTGATGCAGGCCAGCTCAGACTGGGAGATGGAGCAAGAGACAAAGGGACAGAGAGACTCAAGGCTTTAACTCTGGTCTTTCTCCGAGTAGGTAGAGCCACTTCTCCAGTTAAAAAAAAACAACAGCTAAAAAAGAAAAACCCGAAAAAAACACACGAGGTAGTTCAGGGGTGCTTTGTGGTATGGAACACACCAGGAAAGGAGTCACAAATTTTATGAGGCCTGATAATCCCCCTGACCACACATACATATACACACCACCACCACCACCTATCCGCTCACCTGGTGTCTCTTGATAATGTCCTTTAATTTCCCTAGCAGTTTGGGCTCAATTTCCGGACACAGAAAGATGTTTGGTCGAGTTAGGCAGTTGTTCTGTGGGGAGGAGCAACAGATGGGGTGAGGTGATGGGGAAAGGGATTCTCACGGGGGCTGGGGCCGGGGTGGCGCAGGGCGACGGATGCAGGTGTTCTGGACGATTACCTGCACCAAAGACTTCTCAATGGTCATGAACATTTCCACGTTGCGGTCCACCCGTGATGGATTCTGGAAATCATAACGCCGCCTTGCGAAGGGGCAATAATCTAGTGAGTGGGATAGCTCAGGTCTGGAGATGAGGTTAGAGCACATGACTTAACGTGGGGCACTGGGAGGGGAGCTTGCTTCTGCTAGTATCGCCTGCAATCTGGCCTCCCTGATCTGCACCCCTTGAATCACCCTGTGCTTAGTCCGAAAGGACAAAGAAAAGCTTGAGATGCCAGCCCAAGAACCCTTTTCCCTGTAACACACACATACACACACACACACACACACACACACACACACACACACACACAC